ATTCCTGGTAAAGCGAAAAAAGTCTTTGGCAAAAATTCATAACGGATGTTAATCCTGTAATTAATTCTATGTATCAAGCAAGAATTAATGTGCCTTTCAGTTTCATCATATTTCATTGTGCCAAGAACTGCATTTTGTCATACCTTCCCCTTCAGGAGAAAAGAAATCTTTAACAAGCTCTGTGGCAAAATATCCAGGCAACTAATGATAAGCTTTGGAACAACATTCACAGACCATTTGCTTTGATGGCATTTCAAGGTTTCTTTTTCCTCATTTAATGTCTACTGTATGCAAAGGAAGAAATCGTAATTGCTAAACAGCCTTTAAAGAATTAACACTCAGCTTGCTGTTTCCTGTATTAAGGCACATAAACTATGAACAATAATAAACTATAATAAAGTGTAAAATGTGTACAATAATTTTACACTGATAAGCCTCTCATCTTCACCTGCCTCTATGCAAATGTTTATGGGAATGATGGCCAAGGTACATGCCTCAGGGTGATTGGATTTTGTCAGCACATGAGACTGCCCGCATATGTCTATGATCAGCCTAAGGTTACACATTGCATCTTTAGTACATAGAGTAGCCTTTTCTCAGCCTAGGTGTCTTGAAATTTTCACTCAGTGTCATGCCTTTCCATGCAGGTGAGCCAGCCATCAGCATCATGGAAATGAATGAGGCAGATCCAGGTAGGGTGGGATCCACTAGGGAGAGGACAGAAGTTTGCCTCTATCCAGGCTTACCCCACTTTCCGCCGTCTTCCATGCAGCTCTTGATGTGAAGGGAGGACTGAGGACTCTGATGATGAGGGCTTCTGATGTGATGAAGAGGGCTTCTGATGTGAAGAAGAAGCTTCTGATGTAAAGGGGTTTAAAAAAAATTAACTTTTACAAATCTACGCCACAATTTCCACTACATGAATAATTGAAATTAACTATAAATAATCCTAACAAACTCCAGGAGGAATGTGTTACTATCTTTGCTTTTTAGGAATGACGTATCAAAAATATACTGCGTTTAATCTTAAAAGAGAAGTATGGGCAAACCTTTTTTGGCTATAGTTCTCTTTAGGGCCACAGGAGTACATTTACTAATATCCTCCTGTGACCCAAAACTCAGCATATAGCAGGATATTGCCTGTTATATGCTGACAGCGCACAGGAGAGATCCCATCAATATTGTTGGGATCCACCCTGCCCCTCCAGACAGCACTGTCGATCTGTACAGACCTGTGCGGCATGCATGGCCGTATCAGTCCGCTCCCGGGAAGGACAGGTGTTGCGTGTGATTGCACCCAGCAGCCTGTTCTTCTCCATGGGAGTATGCGGCCATACGCTCACCTGAACTGCAAATTCGTGCGGGTGTCCATGCTTGGGCTCAGACAGGATCCATCCTGTCTGCGTATGAGTACGGACACCCGCACCCATATACGGCCCCGTCACCCGTATACCGCACCCGATCTGTACGGGCTGACAGCTGTGTGAATGAGGCCTTATACTCACTATAATGCTAACACCCTTGATCTCATATTCTCCCACCTCTACACTCCTTGCAATCTCACCAACACTACTTTTCTGCTCTCTGATCACAACATTGTCAGTTTCACACTGTCCTCATTGTTAAAGGAGAACTATGGGGTTAAGGCTTTTCCCCATAGTTCTCCTTAGGGTAAAGGGAGGACACAAACTAGCGTCCTCCCGTCACCCTAAGCTCAGTATACCGCAAGCTCCAGCTCGCGGTATACTAAGACGCCACAGTATACCGCAAGCTCCAGCTCGCGGTATACTGAGACGCCGCAGCTGAAGCGGATCCCGACAATTATGTCTGTATCCGCCCAGCTGCGTGAGTGACAGCTGGCTCTGCCTATCTAGATGCAGAGCCAGCTGTACCCGGCGGATGGGAGCGGGGGGGATCCAGCCCCTCCCCTGTCACGGCAGAGAGCTGTGACAGGATCGAGAGGTGAGCGAACGCCGTTATGTGTTCGCTCACCTCCCGATCTACTGAGCCGACCTGTGACAGTCTCATTGTCACAGGTCGGCTAGAACTATGAGGTGAGTGAAAAGCACTCACCTCATAATTCTCCTTTAAGACCCTACCACTCCAACAAGTAAACCATTACCCGTAGAAACCTTCACCACTTTATCCCTTCTCTTCTTTACTCTGCAACAGACCACCTTTATGACAAAATCTGCTAACTTGGGCTCTGTTACTACAAATAATGGGGGATAAGGGACTAGGAAAGTTCCCTTTACCCTCAGGGGGACTAAAGCTTCTGCTAATATTTTGTTAAAAATATGTGAAACTCAGGACAGGCAAAAGATAAGGGGCTGCAAAGTGCCAGTGTTTGGTGTCCACGCCATCTTTTACGCTAAACCTCAGGTATTTGAGATTTCTGGATTAAAAAGTGCAAGTATGCGTCCCTAAGGTCTATTCTTAACATTATGTATCCTTGTCAACAGGTTTATCAGGGAAAAAATTGATTCAATTCCAAGCTCTAACTCAGGCGTTAAGTGACTGACCTCAATTGTGGGAGGAAGTCAGTCTTCCTCCTACAATGGGGTGCAAGTCATTGGGTTTTACTAAGGTTTTCTGAGGAGTTGAATAGGAAATGTCTCTTGTTAATGAATTTTTTGGAGGACCATTCCTTACGGAGTTCCTGATTTGTAAAGTTACTTTTGGTTTCAAATCTAGGCCTCCGAAAGAGCTTTTTACATGGATTTTTTTTTCTTTTTAGGGAAATCCTTATTCCTATCAGAGGATCTATCTAACACAGCTTCTAACTCGCTACCATACAGGAGCTCTCTATTAAAAGTACCAGAGACCATAAATTTAGAAGGACAAGTTTTTAGCCAATCCTTGTTGGATCGTAACCTGTATATTTACCGACTCCACTGAGGCATTCACCATAAACTTTACCTCTTTAGAAAGAGTAGGAAAGTATTCCAAAATTTGATCCCTTGTAATCCCTGATTCTAATTAGGATTTGAGCTGATCTGACCAAATGTTTAACATGTGAGAAACACAAATAGCTAATGCAGATCAGACATTACAAGCATCTGCCTCCCAGGCTTTTTTGAGCAGATTCTGCTTTCTTATCCATGGGATAAGAACCCCCATATCCTCAAATAATGTTTTTTTTAAACCTGTGACAAGGATGCGTTCAGTTTTGTAAAATGTATTACATAGTTACAATCTTCTCCAGAGAAAAGGAAATGTACTTTTTATACTGAAAGGAAAAAGCAGTCATTTTTCAGGTCGTTTCCAGTCCTCAGCAGACCTTTACCCCCTTTCACTAAAAATCACCTCAGCAAACACCTCTTCATGCGGATATGAAATCATCTTACATTCATTAAACAAATATATTTTACTTACAATTATTGTATTTCCACTTCCTGGTCCTCTTGGGCATTAGTGATGTAATGTGCCCAATCTGCATTGCATTCTGGAACGGTTACATCAGCAAAGCATTGCTGGGAAATCTAATCTGTAATCTAACGAGATTTCTGGGAAAGGCATTTTCCTTCCCTTAGATGATGGGCATGGTCACATTGTCCTAGTCACATGTCCCAGGGTTGCAGGAAGTAAAGGGAGATACATTAATATGCTCTTAGTAGCTTAAAAAAATGAAAAAAAATGGCCACTGTGGGAATGAGGAGGAAAGGAAAAATAAGGTATGCAAAGAATAAAAATCCTGCAATTATCTAGAAGTATGTGTTTGTAGATTGTCATTACTAAATGTGTATTTGTTGTCATTTCAAAGATCTGGGTAAAGTTCCTCTTTAATATACTTTTAGTGTATCATGCACTGGGGGAAATACAAATTTTTAAATTAAAGCCCTCTGTACATCTGATCTTAAACAGTAAGCTTCTTGGGTTGTTTTCAGATTCCTAAAGACGCTTAAACTAAAAAAGTGTATTTTTAATTTTGCAGTCAAATTTGAGAAAACCCTTCTACATGTTTGTTATGCGTTCCCATTCCCACCGCATACCAAAAAATATATATTTTGTTTGAATAGATCTTACCTTTTAGTTACCTTGTTGCAGCAGGCAAAATGGCTGAATCCAAGTTTTTTTAAGTACCTTCACAGTGATCTGTCCTTATAGAAAGACTATGGGCATAAAGACTGAGCCCTTTCAGGGCAGAAGTGTCATTCAGGACCCTCAGAGCTTGTTCACATGACATCCGAATTAAGTCCGGAGCAGATCCGTGCGCTCCTGCACCCAAAATGCATCCCAATGTATGGGCTACAGTTCTCTGCATGTGACATTTTGTCCTGTAATGCACGAACGCATCAAAAACGCACCACACTGCAGCTAACAGGTATATCATAGAAAATTATTATTTTTTAACTGGAACGCGCCAAAAACGCACTGCATGCATAGCACCGCGTCTGCAGATCCGCACCAGAAAATCATGTGAACAAGCCCTCAACACGGATACTACTCTGCAAGTGCATGTGCACTTAGAGCCAGCTACAGAGCAAACCAAGAGAGAGCTTCAGCGCAGCACTACCAGACCTGGAGCCTCTCCCTGTGCAAGTGCCTTCCTCAGCCTCTCCAGCCAATGCTGGTAAGACCATGTCAAACTTTTAACTAGAAGGAAACAGTAGGGGGAAATAGCAAAAAAATTTAGCTCAGAAACAAAACCTAGGGGGAATTTTTTATTTCTCACCCCCCTTTCACATAAGCTCCTAAGCCGAATGACCCAGGAGGGCTGCTTTATCCAGCCTCCTAGCGCAGTAGCCAAAAAAAAAAAATACAAGTAACTATGTGTAAGAATGGTCCTGATAGGTGAGGGAACACAAATGAACTGACACTTGCAGGGATTCTGGTGCTTTTTTTTTGTGAGCCTTGTTTCCTGTTTTAGATGGGTGGAGCTACACAGACTCTACAAGGTCTCTGCCTTTAGAAAATGTATGTTTTCAGGCCTAAAATGTGAATTTTGCCATGTGTGCAGGGAAAAGGTTAATGGGATGACAAAATTCTACATGGTTGTATCAGATATACAAGAGGAATGAGTTACAATCATATTTATTAAGCAAATGTAACACCAGCAAAACACATATAAAATGTTTACAGCACTATATGAAGGAACATTTTCAACTTTCAGCTATGTTGTGTAGTGAAGACAGACTCTGAGACAGTGATCTTAGAAAGCATGATAAATACAAGTTCACACATTTTATTCCTGAGCACAGCAGGATATTTTATACAAAAAAAAGTTTAACATTGTAAACATTTATAAAACAAAACTATAACAACATAGTGTTTGCTGTGATTTATACTACATTTTCTCACAGAGAAACTATAATATCCAACAAAAAGGTCAACTTCTATGACAGAACAATAGATGTTTTTGGATCATCACGTTGGTGCATTGTCATTGGAACCCACTCTTTCTCTCATTTTCTTTCTAGCCAAAGCTTCCTGTTTTTTCCGCTCAATCTCTTCCATTGAGCACTTCTTACTTCTGTCTTCTGAGACAAAGACTAGAACAGAACAGAACACGGATCATAAATATATACATATGTGAATGGGTTAAAAAGCTTAAAATATGCAACAAAGCAAATGCTACTTGGAGATATAAAGTGAACTTATCTAGGAGATCTCACAGCAGTTCTCATTCACAGCTGTCAAATGCGGGTCAGTCTGAACAGGCAAAGCTCTAACACTTTCCAGTAGTGTCGGAGCTCGCCTGTTCCATCCCGTTCCCCCGTATTCCTATTGGCCGAACACTATGACAGGTCACCTCCTTAGCTAAAATGAGTGAGTGATATGGTAGGGGGCAGGCAAACAACCACTACTAGAATGTCCAGGACAGCCAGGTTTCAGCTGCAGTGGAGGAGAATCACAGTTGTTGCAAGTATTTCTAGATGCCTACAATTTATACCTACTGTTGGCTCTAAATTTCCCCCGTCCATGCTAAAAACAGTGTGGATGGCAGAATCTCCCCCGCCACCTATTGTACTCAGATGGCCAACACCCACAGCTGTCTAAATGCCAGAACAGGGACTGCAGCTTATTGGGTGTCAATATTCGGCCGACCATTTTCCACCCAGCTCCCTTGATTTTGTCATTGAGATTTGTTAAGCCAGGTGGTGATAAAGGCATCCAAAACACTCTTTCCGATCAGTAAATAGTTTGCAAACTCCACCTTAAGTACATATAACAGTGCTAAAGCATAACTCCATGTTGGAAGGCTTTTAGCAATTTCATTGCAGAGAGCTACCTAATGCAAATTCTACTGAATTTCACAAACTGAAGCTAAATGACTAGTCCAAGTATTGTATTTAGAGAAAAAAAAAAAACAATGCCGCTGATAGCACTGAGATCATCATATTATTATACAGGGTTTATATAGCACCACCAGTTTGCGTAGCGCTTTACAATATAAGTAAGACATTACAATCACAATACAATTCAAGACAAGATGGTAAGGAGGGCCCTGCCTGTGAGGGCTAACTATCTAAAAGGGAGGGGGAAGTGATACATGAGGCGGTATGAGCTGAAATGACATTTCTAGGTGAGCACTTAACACCGACTGTGTACATTACACTCCCATAAAGAAACCAACTTTTTTTGGCAGTTTTAGAAAGACATAGCTGTCTGCAGATTCAACTAGACATATTTTTACTATTTAAAAAAAAAAAAAGAAGAAGTGTAGCAATTGTATAACAAGGATGAGTCCTTGAATTTACCTATTCAGAACAAAATAACAGTTTTTCCTTATAGCCCAACTCCTCTGCTACTAATACTTAAATTACCCACACTCCCCTGGCACACTAATTGCCTTGAAAATGCATGGCACTTCCAAGTATGCAGGAACATGTGACTCCTTCCTCACACCCTGAAGTGCACAACACTTCAATGGACAATTTCCAAGCCCAAAGGCTGTTATGTACCAACAAACAGATTTCTACACAGGGCTCTGAAGGGCAACTGGGGCAAGAGGAGAAAGGGAAGGGAAGTATTGTTAGAAGAGAGGGGATATAAAGAGAACCTGTAACTTAGCCATGAATAGGACATGTTCATACAAAAGAGCACACAAGGAGCTACATTTTACCTACCACTGACATAGATCAGATCTGCTGTATATGATCCTTACTAGAATTACTTCTATATCCCAATTAATCCACAATGTGGTAGTGAAGTTCCACCTTTTCATTCACTACTGCATAATTCAGGCAACATAGGTCAATTACAGCAGTATGGTAGAGAACAATTGTTTTCTGTGTGCCCTGTTCACACAATACATGTGCAAAAAAACACAACTCAATTGACAGTGTGAACAAGGCCTCAGTGTGGAATAGAGAATGTATAGCGCGGCATACAGAATAGGATGGTATGTTATATAAAACGTTTATCATTGCATATAGAATAAGGGAGTGCATAAGAAACCTACAGCATACCAGAGAATGAGGAGGTGCAGAACAGGAAATGGACAGCATAACACATGGAAAGTGGTGCAAAATAGTAAACATTCAACATATGAAATAAGGATAAGGAATTACAGCATGGCATACTGACTGAGGCGATGCGGAAGAGGGATCACGGCTGTTTCTTAAAAAGCGCAACAGTGACCCTATTTGTTTGCTGTCCTGGAAAAATTCGGTTTCGACCCCAATTTTATTGCATGGGTAAAACTTTTGTATACTAAACCTCAAGCTAGACTAGGAGTGAACGGTATTATATCTGAACCCTTCAGTATCAACAGGGGCACCAGACAAGGCACTGGCGCAACAGCTCAGAGGTCAATCTGATATTCCTGGTTTATTAGTGATAAATTGAAATCACCTCATATTTATTGCCCCTTTGTGGTGTATTTTGGGGTATTCCGGTGATCTTGATATCTCCTCACACCAGAAATCTCTTATTACTGTTCTATGCAAAAAAAACCCTCCCCGAATTGTTATAGACTGCCAAAAGGAGTACTCCCCCTTCTTTGATGGAATAGAAGAGTTTGGGGGATCGGACGCTGCCCCTATATAAAAATTAACCTATAAGGCCAGCGGTTTCCCAAACAAATTTGATGCTATTTGGTCGATGGCTTGATATATTGGAAGTTACTAATAAGAACATTTAAGTTTTCCCAATGTACTTTTTATAAGTTTGGTGAGCCAACCTTGATGCTGTTTACTATGTCTATCCAATACCCCAAGTTTCTTCTTTGTGATGATGTTTACATCTATTTCTTTTTTTTCTTACAAACTTCTGTATCTTATCATTGTAACATTACTTCTCGACATTGCTGTTGTATATTTGCAAAAACCTAAAAAAAAAAAAAGAAGCATAACAGTAACATAAAAGCCAGCAGAGCGAGTCTTCCACTACCCACATCCTCTGCCACGCTTGACATAAGATGATCTCGTCAGTCAGAGCTGCAGAATAAGTGAGTAATGGAAGACTTCATATGCTGACTTAAGTGTTTACAGTGGCAAGTCAGTGAGTTGTCACAGTGGGTCCTGTGCTGATGAAGTTGCGGATGGGCCGGGTGTGCCAATTTAACGGCTTATAGTCTGAGCAGGCAGGTAAGGATAGGAGATCATCTTTCCACCCGCTGCCCTTATTCCTGGGGCTCTCTCCCCCAGCATGGGCCCCATAGGAGCCAGGTGGGCATAATGGTAGCAGATGTGCTAGTGAATTTGACTTCTACAGTTGCAATGATGGCAACAATACGAGTGGGGATATACACCAAGTCTCTAGACAGAAGAAGAGTACTGCAGCTTGGATCTCACAGGCATTCTCAAATAACTGTAGTAATAGTTTGTTTACATACCTTTCGATGACTGTATGGTCGATTCTGAAAGATGCCTTTTTAATGATGACTGCTGACTTGAGAGCACATGTGGCTGCAAATTAGGGTTTCTTTTATTACCATCAACAAAACCTTGAAGCCCTTTAGAAATGCTCTCTTTTTCAGAAAGAGAGCTATTTGTGTGGACAGACAGTGCTGGAGAAAGCTTAGTTCTTGTAAAAGAGTACTTTGAAGGTGCCTGGGAAGTTCTTGCATTGCTTGCGGTGGCCTGTAGATTATTTACACCTTGTGAGTGAGGCTCTTGATACTTTTTGGACTCCGCTACATAAGGCATAGAGTTTGACCTGCTGAAAGTTGAAGAAGCCTGGTTTGTCCTTTGGAAGGAGCTGTTTTGAAAAGAATTCAAGCAGTTTCCACTCACAGATGCAGGAGAAACACCCTTGGCAGCCATTTTATTAGAACTTAATGTGTACCCACTGGATTTATTTGAAGCACAAGAATAGTTTGTGGTAATTTTGGTTTCAGATTTATTATTTGTGACACTCTTTGTGAAAACATTAAGACTTGAACTAGAGACCTGAGTATTTCCCACAGATGCTTGAACCTGTGTCAACCTTTCAACGTCATCGCAGACCTGATACAATAGGTCATCATCATCGTCAGCCTTATCTTCCCACAGACTTCCCTCAGATTCACAAAACATTTCTAGGACTTCATCAGAAAACTTAGGGTCATCCCATTCATCAGAGTAAACAGACTCCTTGTTTTTAGAGACAGTATGAGTTTGCTGTGCAGCTTGGACTTCCTTTTTGGGTATTTCATCTTTTTCCTTTCTAGAGCTTAATGGTTTAGATGAAAAGGTATAAGTTTTAGATACTCCAAAGTTAGCGGAAGGATTTGTTGAAGAATTTAGACCAGTATCATTTGGTTTTGGAACCTGGGCCCCCGATGGTCCTAGAGCATGTGCAGTAGAAATCATCCTGTCTCTTGTACAGTCTGCTGTTCTCTTCACATGTGAGGTTTCAGATCTGTTTAGATCAGGCGTTTTCATTTTACTCCCCTCACCTTCATTTAATTTTAGGGGTACAAATTTAAAATGATTAGGCTTATTAGAGGTTATGACTTTAGCTGTACATCCAGAGCTGTCTTTCCCTCCTACAGTATGTAGATTAGCATCATTTGCTGTTTTTGAAGTTACGTTACTTTTTGGAGTAGCAACCAACTCAGGATTTTGAGTAATCTGCATTACAAAAGAATCGTCTTCAAGAATGTCTTCTCCCCAGTCATCTTCAAAGTCATCCTGGCTATTTAATTCTGAATGAGCCATATCAGAGGATTGAACTGGTTCCTTTCCACTAGACCCAGCTTGTTTAGAAGTTTGATCACACTGCAACATATCTGATCGTACTTTTGAATTGAAGGAAAAACGACCTGAAGTTTTATTGCTTTCAGGTGGAACTTTATGTTTAGTAAGTAACTGATTTTCCCCGATGCCATTTCCTGTATCTAAAGCAAACTCAATACTGCTTGTAGAAACATGGGACAAAGTTTGACTTAACCGTCCACTGCATTTCTGTGTAGAACAATCAAACAAAGCATTAAATGCTTCTTCAGCCTCCTGGTCCACAGACTTTTGACTGCTCTTTTCTGCTCCTATACCTGAGCTTTGGCTAACAGATTTCAATGCTAGAGATACTTCATCTTCTTCAGGAATGTATTCCAGGAAAGAACCACTGCCATCTTCCTGAGCACCACCAACATTAACAACTTTGTTTGCTTTGTCTATCAAGTCATCAGAATTCTGGTCTTTATGTTCAACCAAATTCCGGTCTAACTGCTTTGCCAATTCCATGAGTTCTTCTTCTGTTTTTAGGATTCTAGATCTGTAATAGTAAGCAAAAAAATGAGTAAATAAGCCCACAATTCCAGCTCTTTCATTAATATGATGATCACACAAAACAAGCATGTCACGAACCAAAACGGGCATATAATGCCAAACGCATAAACATATGGTTTTTGTGGTGAAAATTGTATCAAAATAACTAGTAGATCCAGAGGTATAGCAAGATAAAATGACGTGTTACATAAACGTCAGTGCTGCCCAATACCACCTCCTGATTGCTCAATAAGGGTGCTCATACCATTACAGGACAAAGTGTAGCATAGCTATGCCTAACTTTAATAGAAAATTCCCCATAACTTTAGCTGCCCAAAACTATGGATCTAATATTGTCAGCACTCCCCGGTGGCCAGAACCCCTAGAAACTCCAGTGAAATTTTCAACAAACCCCTTAACTCCACCTGTTTGAGTTTAACAAATGGTCACTTAGACAAGAAGTGATGTATTCTTTGAAGCAGAGAAGAGTATCATCTGGTCCCCATATCTGGATTTACTGGGTCATTTTTGAGGCTTTGGCAGCAGATGATTGAACTTGGGGGTGTTAGGAAAGTACAGAAGGATTAGCCATCACCCTGTTTTTCCCTCCTTCACTGGATCAGTCAATCTTCTACATGTACTGCTCACAATTTCAAACCAACGCTTCCTTTCAGCCATTACTCACAAAAGACCTAGAGGGGAATTATCAAAACTGGAGCAGTTGCACAGAGCAACCAATCAGCTTCACTTTTGTTCAGTTAAGATTTGAAAATGAAAAAGAGAAGCTGATTGGTTGCCATCCACAGCTGCTCCAGATTTTCTCTGCTCCAGTTTTGATAAATTCCCCTCAATGTCTTTAACATTATTTTTAGGTAGTATCTGCTAGTGTTACAGCTAAGATGGTCCCCCAATGTCTTGATCAGCCAACATCCATAAAGGCTTTCAGCTCGACTACTTTTTAGAACATGCAAATGGAGTTTACCTATGCATTTTAGTTCTAGTGCGGGTTACTACTGGAGTGCACGGGATAGCATCATCTCCAATCCATACACCGAAGTATGAAGAATCAGAATTTGAAGGCTTTCCATCCTGGAAGAGATCATCTACATATTATTTTGAAGTTAACAAACAATCCATGAAGAAACATAAAATAAGCAAGCCAAATAAAAATAACCATGTACATATTTGTGCTTAATAACCATTACCCTTGTATTAAGATTGTAAGCCCTCACGAGCAGGGCCCTCCTTACCATCTTGTCTTAAATTGTATTGTGACTGTAATGTCTTCCTTATATTGTAAAGCGCTGTGCAAACTATTGGCGCTATATAAATCCTGTATAATTAATATTTAAAAAGTGGTATATTATACTGTATCTGTAGCTGTTAGCAACCAATGTGTTTTCAGTGCTTCCTGTGTATTTTACAAACTCTGACATACATAAACTAGGGCTGGGGAAATTAACGATTAATCGTTAAACTTTTTGATCGATTAAAATTCTTTTGATGGAAGATGAAGACTCACCTCTCCGCCGGCTTCCAGTGACGACACGGACATCGACGTCACCGGACTCCTCCCCCAAGTGGCCCAGTCGGCTAACGAAGGGAAGGGGGAGGAGTCGGGTGACGTCAATGTCCGTGACATCACCGGACTCCTCCCCTTCCCTTCGTTAGCCGATGGAGCCACTTGGGCCGGTGAGTTTGCCGAAGAAGCACCAAGCTTCTGTCTTATCTTAAACTTATATATATGCACTATGTGGCTCTCCATTAACCCACCCACTACCCCCCCTATCACGCTCCCAGAAAAGTGCCCATTGAAATTTACTGATAATATGTTGCAATCAGGTCCTTACATGAAATGGAATGGACAGGTGCTGCTACTTCAAATATTAAGCTAATACTTATGTTTAAATCAGCACGTTATTATTCTGAGTTGCCCCACTCAAGCGGCGGCCATATTGAGTGGGGCACGTGAGATTAATAACGTTCTGGATTAGTGTGATCCTAGTTAATTTTATTACTTCATTGCTGTGCTGTATGTGTATAGGCCAATGTAGTTGGATCTGTATGTGCGTTATAATTAGTCGAAATTAATCGATTAAATTTTTTTTTGATTAAATCGAACACAAAAATTTTAATCATTACCAGCCCTAACATAAACCATAAATAATCCAATCTAAATAAAAAGAATATCAACAATTCAAAAAGTTCAATAAGTGCAGTCCAAAATTGTGGAAACCATCCGTTAAAAAAAACAAACAAACAAAAAAAAAAAAAAACTACTTGTCTAAGAACTAAAGCAGGGGCCCAATCTACTTGTGCCTCATGACAATCTACTTGTCGTGATACAAAAAAAATCTTACCCAAAACTGTATTTAACTGTGCCAAGAAGTGCTT